AACATACAATTTTTTATATACATTTGAGTCAATATAACCTTTGCTTTTCCAATATTTCAATAAATTTCCGATTTCTGCGGTAATTTTATTAGTAGGATCTTTTTTTATTAAAATGTATATGGAATGATCATTGAGAACGTCATACATTTTTTCCTTGTAACTATCACGGCTCAAAACCACAATGATATTGCCTTTATCAGCTCTAGTGATTAAGATATCTGTATTATCTGAGATCAGTCTCTTCACTTCCGCTACACCTTCACTCAAGACAGTATTTTCAAACGATTTGATATTACATTTATTAATAGATTTTAAAATCTGAATCGTTTCATTTCTAATATTTTTGCTTGTGTCATCATCAGCTTTGAAAAGGTTACCTTCCACATGTTTGATAAACTTACATGTAATAACCTCCTTATTCACCAAATTGTTAGGTAAATTAAATTGCTGACCTAGCTGTAATATTATTATGGCTTTATCAGAGATGCTAATATTGCTTAAATTTATTAGCCAATGTTCGTTAATGTTACGTCTATCAAACGACTCGTTAACTATGTCCGGAGTGATGTTAATATTGTAACCTGAGTAAATTTTGTTCGAATTCGTAACCTTAGTCAAAACTGTATTAAATTTTGAATAAAATTATTTGATTGTAATGAAGAAGAAGAGGATCCTGTGTTTGGTGAATAGAAAATTTTTTCCACTATGCAAAACTTATTCTTTCTGATGTACATTCAATAGACAAATGATTAATAAAAACTTATAAACGTTAAAAGCTGATTGCAAGTATTTACTGATTATTTATTGCGCATATCTCTAAATATCTATGATATCTCTCCATCAAATAACTCTAATCCTACACGAAATGTGCACATCAGATCCTTCTTAATATCGCTAATTAAATTTAAATGAACTTAGAAATCTTAAGTCATACTAACATATTAATCAAATTATGCGAATCTTGTGTTATAGATGTGTTATAAATGTTTTGTTGTCCTAGCATATTTTCATTATAACGAATTAACGAATTAACTGTGACAAAATATTAAATATCGCATTAGATAAACATATGTAATAGCTTTTAAAATATTGGACTTACATGTGTCAATTGCAGATACATTATTATGATCCTCGAATTTGCCTTGTTATAATTACCAGGTTAACTATGACAAATTATTAAACACCAAATATTATATATTATATAATGTTGACAACGACAGTAAAAAGAGGGAAATCACATCCTTGTAAATAAGTTATTATAAATAGCATCTAGAGAATCCATGTCGTTGATATTTAAACCATTAATTTGTTTCTTTATATAAATTATTTTTGACATTAGCCTTTTATGTAAAAATTCTTGTTCATCTAAAATAACGCAAATGAGACTAAGCAATATACGGCAAGAAACGACACGGATTCTCTATTTATAATAACTTATTTACAAAGAAGTGATGTGTTTCCCTTTTCTTACTGTCATTGTCAACATTATACAGGGTGTTAGTTAAGTATGTTTAAGACACATGTTTATAGTGACTTTTTTACTTAAAATAAACCACTCTATATGGCAACATACTTAACTAACACCCTGTATAATGTTGACAATGACAGTAAGAAGAGGGAAGCACGTTACTTCCTTGTAAATAAGTTATTATAATAGCGTCTAGAGAATCCGTGTCATTTCTTGCCGTATATTGCTTAGTCTCGTTTGCGCTTGGTCATATATATGCGAACAATAGAATTGATCATTTTTACGAATAATCCAGCTTTGTGCCTGTATGTCATAAGTTTAATATTTTATTAGTCATTATTTATCATCTAATTATTTATTATATGTCTGTTCAATTTGATATTTAATAATTTGTCACAGTTAATCTGATAATTTTTATTTGTTTTATTGTTATTTGTTTATTTAACTATAAATTATGTTATTTTAACAGAAATGTTGAATTTTAATTTAACACAAAATATTTAAACAACATAATCATGTTATGTTAAATTAAAATATCGGATATATTACAAAAATCAAAACAAAATTTTAACAAGAATTTGAGTGGACTATTTCTAACACAAATATAAAATGTTTTTTGCTATGTACCTACAGATACTCAAATTTGTACTTAGTTATGTGTAAAAGTCGATAAAATTAAGAAACTTCGAGATATATAGGTTCGAAAAAAAAGAAAAATTTAGAAACGCAAAAAAATCTCGATTTATGATTTGGCAACGTTTTATTCTCCATTTGTGCTATCTTGTATTTTCTCTCCTTCACTCCAATACTCCTCTATATCTGCGATATCTCCTTCAATTAAACGTTTGAATATCATTCCTCTTTTAATCTTCTTGTCACTAGATACCAAGATTACTTATCTTTCCACATATATCGGTCTACTAAGTTCTGTGTCGCTTTCTCCTATACTTCTGTCAAATATTTTAATTCCCTTCCTTTCAATAAAAGGAATTATATTTCTCCCTCTCTTTCGTTCCGCATATCTCGCGTTTTTCATCGCGTCACTCACAGTATTTAAACGAGACTGATGTAATTGATGTGTTGCGAGTATGTGCGCGTGTGTATATGATTTCAGCTATTGGTTTGTCTCTTATTGCATTGTTGTTTTATTCTGGTTTGTTACTGGTAGGCTTTGTAACAGCAATTTTGTTCACGCCTAACATTTGCAAGCTATTATTGTCTATTGTATTTATGTTTATGTTAAGTATAGTCTATTGTATCATATTTTATGTCTATTATTCTGTTAATATGTAATCTTTTTTCATATGGCTTTGCAATAAACTAAATTAAATTAAATTAAATTAAATTAAATTAAATTTATAAAGGATGCTGGGAACCCCAGTGTGTACACCTAGAGTTAATTATATATCATTCTTTATTTCAGTTTTTATAATATTTAATTTGTATATTTTTTAAACAAATACTAACACTAAAAACTATCGTACATACTATGTATGTTTTATTTAGAATAATGTGTTATGATAATGGAAATCTTTTATAAGTTTTATAGCAATGTAATTAGCTATTATTACTTTTAAATATTGAAGAGGTTTCACACAAATTGTTATCCTTCTGTTTCTTTAAGAAGAATCTTCAAAATATTTCACAAGGAACACGGAAAAATATTTTTAAATTATCTTATCTCATCCGATTTTATCCGTTTAGCCAATATTTAGAAATTAATATCTCATTATCTATTGCAAAAATTGCAAAATGGTAGAAGAATTTTCGATTTAATTTTTTATTAAGTCAAATAAAAAATAGTACAGGACTCTTAATTTTTTAAAAGACAATATAAAAAAGTATAAGAGTCAACGTAATTAATTATAAATGCAAAAACTGTAATACGATATATAAAAATGTATAAATAAAAAGTCTTTAAATAACACATTGTAAAACATTACATTACATGTTTCAGCTCTTGGATTGAGCCATCTTCAGATAAAACAAATTCACAACCTTAATATGTCCTATACTTCTTTATATTGTTTTTTATTAGGAATATAATGTATGATTAGTGAGCGTTATTTCAGTTATACCCTGTATACTCATACATACTTGATTTTCATGAGACATGTAGGTGATTTTACGGTCATAATTATACTGAAAAAAATATCTAGACTTTTTCCGATTATAATGATCGGATTATCATTTCAAAAAGTAATCTGATTATTTTGATCGGACAAAAAATCCGATCATTTAGTCGGAAATAAATTCATCGGAATATCCGATGAGAAATATCCGTTCGTTACCTTTTGAATGGATTATTCGATTACATTGTGTTCGATCAAGTCTGCATATATTTTTGATCGGACGTTAACTGATCAAATTATACATAGCTAACAAGCATTGATTATTTAACATGAAAATTTTTATACAAGAAAAAGATTTATTTATAAAAATGTGGATTATTTTTTTCTCAACTTTTATAATTTCGAGCACTGTTTTTATATCCTTCATTGTCACACACACTTTTTTTCGATACTGCAATGATATTGCAATTTATGCAGTCAAGAATAAGAACAAATGCGTAATAAAAATCAAATAGAGACACATAATAAAAATCAAATAGAGACACATAATAAAAATCAAATAGATATTCGCACCAGAGATACATGCTAGTTCGATTACAACATGAAAGTAATGCCATCAGCCTAAAGAGTCTACTGATGAAACAGTCGCTGATCATATGATCAACTATTCTACGATTGACTAGCGCCTTTCAATTAATCGGATATTAAACTTGATCGCGAATAAAATACTTTCTTTTGATTCAAGTCTAATGTCTGATCAAGCTGTAAGTTTCCGGTGAAATTTTAACGGATAGGCATATGATGGCACATATTTCGTTCATATGTAATCAGAAATTACATTTCATCGGATAAAAGTGTTTGTCACTTCATCGGATAATCCTGAATTTAATCAAAATTGATCGAAGAAAGCATTAGAACGGTTATTTCCGATCAAAAGCATTAGACATTTTTCTCAGTATACAAATTAGAAAAAATGAGCGTTTTTTGTTCTTTCTGAATGATTCTTACAGATAATAATTATATAATGATCGAGTTCTGTAGAAAACAGTCGTGGCTTTGGAATTTGCGTAAATTAAAAAATTTTTTTATAATATTATGTATAAGAATAAAACTTTTCAGAGAGATAAAAAAATACACATTTTTTTGTCTGATTTAGCGTGGAATTTCCCATATATTCTTTTATTATAATTCTTGAATTCACAGCTTTATTATATAATTTTTAACAAAATAATTGTTATTGAGATAAAATAAAGTTATATTAAATATTTTTTAAATCTCATTCATATTTGACATAATATAATATATACTTAAGAGATGAGACAGAGAATCTTCATTTTACGATTTTTATCGGATTTATCAGATACATATAATGTTATTTTATTTACCTTTCTTTTTATATAAGAAAAGCTAAGTGGGCATCTTTTTTTCAATTGCAGTTTTCAATAACAAAGTAACCGATTTTAGTCAAATAATTATTATTATAGCGTTTTATAGAGTGATTATAAGACTACAAGATGGCAAAAAATTTTAGTGTTTGCAACTTCATTTTATTCATATACATAAAAAATGATGTGATTCGAAAAATGAAATCTCTAAAATTGCTTTTGATCGAAAACACGTTTGACTACCTAAACATAATAACGCGGCACTTAAACTAACCAAACTTCGTTGGTAAAGAAGACACACACGAGATCTATCTATGATATAAATTGGAAATTCATAAAATATATTTTTGCCATTCAAAATTCAAATGCTTAGCTTCATTGTCCATTTAGCCCCGATCTCTTCTATATTTAAATATTAAAAAACCATAAATATTTAAAATAATAATTTTTAATCCATGAACTTAGAATTCATTTTTCTCGGATAGGATTTATATCTAAAGAATGTACCTCTATTGATTAAATAAAATAATTTTTATTTGTTAACAAAACAATATAATCTAGACTGCTCTTTGCCTTGATGACGTAAATTGCAATGTTCATGAAATGTTAATATTCTAGTAATGGATTTGAGCACGAAGATACACATTTTAATATCTTTCATTCTGAAGTAATAAGATTATATATATTTATAAATATATTTATACATTATTGTATGCAGAAAAAGATAATTACGTTATTAATCAATATAGTTCTTTACCAATTCTTTAGTCATTACTTTCAAATCTTTTCTTGAAATTTTTCCTGAACCCGTATATGGAAAATTGTCTAGAAATATAACTCCTGCACGTAGTTTGTAGTGATCCATCATGTTCCTCGCCACAAAATCTATCAATTCCTGTTCTGTCACCTGTACAAAAAAAAATTAAATCAGTGTGAAGAAAGATTATTCTAATGCATAAAAATATTTCCTATTTTTTATTAAAAAATAATAGTCATATAAATTTAATGATATACTTTTTCAATCTAATAATCAAATAATGTTTCATTTATTACAAAGTAAAAATATGAAATTTACACGATGGTCCTAGGATAATTCCGATATATACACCTAACTTAATTTAATAATTTAATTTATTCTTAACTCAAAAACTTAATTTATTAAGTATTATTTATTATGTTTAAAGTAAACGAACTATATCAGTAAAAATTTTGTACTATCTATTACTATGAAAAAAATATTAGAAATCCGAAATATTTATTTTTCATATTAAAAAATAAACTTTTTGAAATTCTTGCATTTTTGTCGTATATCCTATAGGGGTGAGATATATAGCTATTCATAAGGGGAGGGAGGGTATGTACGGCTCATGAAAAATTTACAAATAATGCATATGAATAAGACGTAAAATGGCACAATAACTTATAAAATATGTTTATAATATTTATAAAGTTTTATTAAAGAATAAGAATGATAAATATGTATATGAAATAATAAATAATAATTACAATCTTCCTACATATATTACAAATATTATAACATAAGGTACATATTTCATATAATGCGTTCATTGCATTTAGTGCACTGAATTCAATCTGCGCACTTTGGGCATAAATCCCGCTCGTTAAAAATGCCGTATATCCCAAAGTGGGATATACAAGACATTAAACAAAGAATACGAAAGCACTTGTATTTTACTTACAATGATATCGATTCAACTCACAATAATTTTATTAATATTAACAGTAAGAAACTGAAATCATAATTTTGACCGAATTAGTGTACATATATTTTAATTCGTTTTTTATTTCTATTTTTTTTTTAACACATCAATATCTTTGTTTTTATAATATAAGTGTGATTCTCTCTATCTATTGAATATTTTAAGAAAATTTATCTAGCGGAATGTTCAAGATCATTTTAGAGGAAAATCACCGATACCACTTTGTTTGTAAACAATATTTCTTAAACAAATATTTCTTAAAAATAAAACTTTAAAAACATAAGTACAAATTAAAAAGGTGTCTTCTATTAGATGATATGCAGTTTTTATAATACTGTTTGCAATAATTAATTTTTTCATAAGATGAGCAAAAATGAGCGTCTGAAAATGGAGTCCAAACAGTAGGTAGTAATGTCCACGTATTCCTTTTTTTTTTACAGGAATTATCTGTATAAAGTATCTACAAGTGAATGAATATAAGATTTTCCAGAATCTTTTCACTTCGTTACAAAACATTTTTATTGAATTATATGCATATTTACTTTTTGTTTTTTCTGCAAGATGCAAATATGTAATACGATGATAATTTTCCAAGAGTTTTTCCATATATACACAATTGTCTTCAGCTCCAATAGAATATTTGATATTATAAAGCAACATTACAAAAATTAAGTTAGTTCTCATGGTTTACAAACAAATGTGGCGGTTTACGCTGCACTCCAATTTTTAATTTAAAATCATATTATGAAAAAACTATGAGAAAAAATAATTTAAATAAAACTAATTTAAGAAATTACAAGCATTTAAAACAACGTAATATTATCAATAATATAATCACTATTATTTAAATACTACTATGCAATTTGCAAAGAAAATCGTAAGAATTTTATTTTCACATTCGTAGAATTCGATTTTAGCTTATTTATAAAATAATACAGGTATAAAAACAAACCACAAATATGCGAATTATTAGTTTGTACTTCTTTAATTAGCTAAACAGATTATGATTTTATTAGTATTAATACGTAAGTGCAATAGTTTATGAGAAGCTGTAGTTTATAAGGAGGTGTCGTTTTATGAAATCTATGTCATTATCGGCGACATTTCTCTACTATTATTAATAATATTCAAATTATTTTGTAAATCTTTATTCTACGAGTTTATCATATTTATAAAGATTATACCTCGGCACCAGGTCTCTTGGTAACATAAGCAAGAGGATGCTCATCGTCTAATGCATGAGGTACTCCTACAATTGCAGTCTCTAGCACTGCTGGATGTAACATTAACACATTCTCAATTTCTGTAGGAGAGATCTGATATCCTCTATACTTTATAAGTTCTTTTATTCTGTCGATAATGAACAATTCTCCATCTTCATCTACATAACCGATATCACCCGTGTGCAACCATCCTATTTTTTAAAAATTTACAGATACATAATATAATAGATTAGATTTTTTCATAATTTTATTATATATTTTTTTAATTTAATGAAATGTAATTTATTTAGTTTTTGAATATATAATTAATTTTTTAATTATAATTAATTTTTTTTTAATATAGTTATGTTTATGATTATTGTTATGACAGAAATCTTTACCTTCTTCATCAATCGTACTTTTTGTTGCCTCAGGATTTCTATAATAATCATTCATCATAGTTACAGATTTTACCCATATTTCTCCCGATTGATTCGGACCAAGAATTTTTTCGTTTTCAGGATCTATGATCTTCATTTGCACATTCTCGACTACTACACCGCAAGATCCGTATTTGTGGTTCGATAATTGACTTGTTATAAAACCACTGGTTTCCGTCATTCCTCAAAATAAAGGAAATAAAAATTTTAAAATAAAGAAATAAAAATAATTAAAATTTTATAACACACATTAATAATATATATTAATATATTGCATTACATCGATATTTACCATAGCCTTGCAATATGTCGACATGTGGTAAAATACATTTCAATTCTTCCTGTACTTTCGGCTTAATTATTGCACCAGTGCTCATTATAATTTTTAAAGATGGTAAAGAATATTTCTTTACATAACCCGCTTTGAGAAACCGATTGATCATGCTTGTGCTAAGAAAAATAAATGCTACCTAGATAACAAAATAATTTATACTTCTGAATTATATCATATCGTGCGCAAACTACTTCTAAATATTATATAATGCTAATAATATATACATATAAGTAGATATCATTAAATCACGATTTTAATATATTCTTTCTTACAATCATATAGTTACGTTGCACTTGATTGTATCATGTTTAATTCATTATCAATTATAAAAATGCAATTTATTACTCACACGAGACTTGAACAAGAAGTTTAGATACAAAAATTAATAATACTATTCTAATAATAATAAGTTATTGTGTCAATTGTTTGCTTAATTTAAAATGTTAAAGTATGCTTGAAAAAAACCAATTCAGTTCAACTTTGTTATAGATTTTACAAAAGCAAGAAACTTTATAAACTACTGCGATAATTTATTTATAGTAAGAAGCTATTTTTTATTTTTACTTATTTATATTATCGTGAAACATTATATTTTTATTAGAATATTTATAGAATATTTATAACATATTATTACTTTATATTTTTCAATTAATCGACAAGTCATCTCCTCGTTAAATTCTGGATAAAGGATCGCTAAGTTGCCTTGCGCGATCATATTCAAGTTCAGCACTGTCCCACTCAGCCAATAAAGAGAAGAAAACCAAAGTAATGGTGTATTAGCCACATCCAAAATATTTTTCTGGATAATGACTAATAGTGCATAATTGGATAGTTCGACACCTTTCGGCATCCCCGTAGTGCCCGACGAATGCAAAATGCATGCCGTCTTTTTTATATCGTCGAGCTCAACGTAACGGAAATTTGCTACTTCTACATCATTGCAATTTCTCAGAATATCGAAGAACGAAATCGCATCGACATGCTTGCCAAAAATCACTATCGTGGGATTGCACTTCTGTTTCTTTATCGCGCTCAAAATAACATCCACTGCTTTCTCACTGCAGAAGATCACTTTTGGCGTAGTCAATTGTAAAACGTGCAGCGCAGTTTCTGATGGCAAATTATTTATAAATAATAAAAAAATAAATATTATGTGCTAAGTATTAAGATGCATTAAATAGAAGGTAAAATTGGACTTACTTGCACTGTTATTAATGCATTATTTCAAATTTAATAATTTAATCGAATACAAAAAAAATATGAAATATTTGATAATTAAGGAAGAACTTACGCAAATCCATGTTCTCATTCCACGGATTGAAAATTGCATCGATATAAGCTGCCGAAAGACAAGGCACGATGGAGTCGAGATGATTGCCTGTGCACATACTAATAACATCTCCGGATTTAATTCCTTGTTTTTGAAACCACAAGGCACATCTCACAACTTTTTCTTGCAGTTCCGCGTATGTAATTGTTTCTTCGGTGCATGCGTCCAACTGTATATTATTACAAAAGATGTTTCAAAACACCACAAAATTTATTATGTTGCAGAATCATTAGTTCGCGATTAAAAGAGAGAGAGAGAGAACTATTCACAATTCTAAAATGTATATCTTTTACTAATTAATAATCAAAATTAAAATTTACAAAAACTATGTACAATCGTAAAGACTTTCAATCAATTTTTAAAGAATTTTATTTTGATTTGCTTTCAGAATTCTTTTTCGGATTTGTTCTTTTTAGAAACATTTATTGAATCGTATCACGTACGGAAAAAATTAGTCTTAAGGCATTTATTATTAATAATTACTGTTCATGATTAGGTCTAAAACAAAAGAATTTTTGATAATATTAAATTATAAATTTTATTACAATTTTATTTATAATATTGTTGTTAGTGATAAAATAATCACGGAATTATGATTAATTCCGCGATTATTTTAAAATTATAGTTTAAATTTTTTATATGTTGTTTCTAAATTTTTTTGTGAATATTTGCTAATATATGTATACGTGTTACATAACATTAAATAAGAAATTATTTTGATATTAAATTTATTGAACAGTATTATAAAACATGTGATAAAAGAATACATATTAGTATCTTTATAAATGACGTCAATATTAAATTTTAACGATTTATTCAATAATGTTTTTTATTGTTTTATCCTGCACTTTGACGTCGTTATTACGTGACTTTGCTAGCTAGAGATTATTATCTAATATAATGAAAACATGATTCATCATCGCTTGTACGGTTGTCTGTAGTTAAATCCACATTTTAATTGTTTTGTTGTTTCTTTCATATATTTGTATTTGTCTTAGCACTTTACAATTAAATTATTTTAGACAAATTTTTTGTGATCTTTTATGTCTTATTTTAATTAATTTAAAATAATATATTTTTAATCAATGGGTATTTAACTTGTAACAATTTATATATGTAAAATATCTTTAGATATTTTGAAATTACCATACAAAAATAAAATATTAATTTACAAAATTAATAAATTATTAAATAAATTTTTACATATAAAAGTATATTTTATAACATTAAAATAATGGTAATTTTAATGTTTCTTTTTTTGCATTTGCTTCTATAATTACGTTATAAACAACTCTGCAAAGAGTGCTGGAGGAAAGCAGAACTGATTCAATTAAATATTCGCATGAAACATTCGTTTGAAGTTTTAATATCGAAATATTAGTATAATCTTTTATATATATCATATGTACGATATATGAATTCTTTCTTTAGTATACTTGTTTATCTTATATTTTGACAAATTTTAATTTAATTGTATCGTACAAAATAAACTAGAATTGGTAGAAGTAATAGGGCAATTTATATTTATATTATTATTAATATGAATCTTTTTTATTCCAGAGTATATTTTTAATAAATCTTCTTTCTTATTTAGATAGACATAAATTTTAAAAGTTGAAATCTATTTTTCTAATAAATTCTTATTTTATTATACTATATTAACGTTATATGCTTATAAACATGACTTACATATGCAATTTTGTTTCCGTAACTTTTAATTCTGATCCATAACATTTCTCCGAGACTCTTGTATTTATTCATGTTATTTACTGGTCCCTTGTAAATACCATTTTCTACAGTAAAATTCTGTATGTAACATACAAATCAGATTGTTTTTATTACTTTGCATTATATGTCTTTAATTTAAAAGATCGCGAACACACTCACACACACACATACACACACACGTGAAACACTACATTTATAACTTTTTTCTTAAAATGTAACATAAAAATTAGACGCAGTAATAGATCACTATGTGATTTTACATTTACCTTTTGATGATGTTCAACAGTTTTGTCAGAAATATTTAGATCTTCCATCGTAAATATGAGATTCTGAATGCGTTCCAACAATGTTTACTCTACAGTAATGTGTCATAAATAAAACATTTTAGTTATTCTAAATAAGTAAACTAAAATTGATTATCAAAATATATGAAGTGTATGAATATTTGTTGTGTACTTATTGATTTTTATCATATCATTAAAACTGACGGTTTTGTTGCATAATCCTTTACTTTGAATCATATAAATACTAATTTTATTGTAAGAATTTATTATGTAATACTTATTACAAAACACAAAACAGATACATGTAACACAACATTTATAATTAGCAGTTGGCCTTGAGAGCGATCGCAAATTCCGTAAATTTAAGAGCTATAATAAAATTACAATTTTTAATTTTTCCTCTTAAATAATAAGAAATGAAATAGTAGGAAATGTTTTAATATCTTTATATATTTTATCTGATGATTACCTATGACCTTATATAAGTATTATCTATTTATATAAAAGAAGAAGTACTAAAATACTCGTTAAAAATAAACACTAAAAAATAACTTCTAAAAAACCATCACTATTTGCAGTCAAATTGATAAATTACTATAAACAATTAAAAATAAAATAGAGACACAATAGAATCCATTATATACAAAATCCATTTACATACAAAAAAGATTTAAATATATTTAAATCAATACCTTTGATTATATAGATCGTTAAGGTATCCGATGTAGAGAAAAAATGTTGAAATTAAAAAAAAAATTGGTAGCGTCGATTATAACGAAGAAGATTTCGTGTCTGGTGGACGGAAGATTTTCACTACGCGAAGATCATTCTACACGGACATTCAGCAAACAAGTGAGCAATAAAGCGATTATGAACGTTATTAAGTATTTAGTAGTAGATTATACATAAGTATTTACTGATTATTCGTCACATATGTAAATTATTTATA